TACGATTCAATTTCCACGTGTCTGGGTGGAGCAATGTGCACGTTGAACCGTGAATTGTTGCACGGCAATGATCGAGTGGCTCGCGCAAAGCGGATCTCGTCTGTTCCGGATCGATGCATGCAGCTGGCTGCGGTATAACGTGTTATCAGGGCTATTCCGGCCGACCAAGTCTAGATCTGACCTAGAACTCTCTCCGGGTAGAATCCGGCCGGAGTCCCCGACCCGGCCTGTGAAATCCTAACCTCCCCCCTCCCCCTAAATCATCGCGAGGGGGGCATCGCGTGGAAACACGCCTTTAACGTTATAAAGGGCAGAGAAACTGGAACACTTTCGATGAACACGGTTCAAATGCTAGGATGCACGCAGCGTGATCTAATTTTCTGATAGGGTTTCGAGTCAGCTGGCTACGGGTGGACCTTTCGATTGACCTCTTCTCATCCTATTCGAGCTCGTTGTTCCTTCGAATATCTATTTTCTTTCCTTTTTTTTTTTTTTTTTTTTTTTTAGCTTCTCGTTCTCCGCGTGGGCGGAGTCTATCCATCCGTCATTTATTTTCGTACGCTTCGTTTCGAATTTTAGTTATTTTTCTTTTTCTTCTTTTTTTAACGGTAATTATTTAGTTGAGAAGATATCAGCTTTGATTCTGACGATTTTATATTTTATTTGTTTGCTTCGTAAAAATTTATTCTTCGAAACAGTATAGGTTAGGTCGAGTGGATTTTTATTCAATTTTGATTTGCGAAGTGAAATTGAACTTAAGAATTAAGTTAATTGGTGTCGATTAAAAATTCATTTAATTTCGTGGTTTTATATTAGATTTAGGTTAATAGGTTTTTTTTTGATAATAATTTTTCAATGAACAATTGCCAATAAAACCTTGACAATGTTGTTCAACATGATGATCTTGTTCCTCAATATCTAATTCTTAATTTTGTTTCTTAACTTTTATTTTGGATTTCGATTAATTTTCAAAAAAAAAATTTCCTTTCCACGAATTAAGTGAATAAGCTTGAAAATATTATACCTTCGATTATATAAAATTTTTCATGGGCGTGTCAAGTCACTGACAGAATTATATTCCAAACAAAGAAGCGTGAAATATTTCGTGTAACTGAACGACAAATCGACGACAATAAATCATGCGAAACGACGTGGGTGGGCGGTATCTCGCTCCTTTAAAGCGTTGAATTGGTTAAACGTCGACTTCTAGAGGTCTCTAACGATGAAAGAAAAGAATTCCCCTTAGAATTCTGGCACGTTATTTTGGCACGAACAAATTCGACCATATTCTCGATATTATTTTTCGCTCTATTAATACTATTTCCATTTCATCCTACATAATTAATTTTCCTCATAATTTCCGATCGTTCGTCCCTTTGATCGTTCTCGAATTATGGGAAATTTTCCAATTTTTGTGAATTTGATTAGTGGATTTCGATATCGAATTTCATTTTGGATCTTGAAGATTCTATTTTCGTTTAAAAATCTCGTCCCATTTTAAAATTTTAATTTTTGCCCAAGGATTTAATAAAATAAAATTTTGAAGACTTTTTACATTGCACTTTTTAATTTTTAATAATTTTTTAGAATTTTCCTTTTCAATCTTTTTAACTTGGAACTTTTATATTTAAATATAAACTTTTTTAAGGACAGAAGATGTGAAAGAGCATAATAGAATGACGTGCATGAGAAAAAATAACACTTTCATTCGGCCCATTCATGAAAAATGGAATTAATATATAACGAAACATATTTCCAATAATAATATGAAGCACTGAAGATTATTTTTTGTCTTTGCACAGAATTATAAAAGAATTATTATAATATATATATATATATATTCATTTTATTATTATATTCATTTTTGAAAAACAGTCGTGCAACTACGTAATCCACATGCAAAGTTTCTTTTTCAACGGTGAAAATCCTGGAAAGGATACTCTATTTATTCTCGTTCTTCCTATTACAATTTTTATTCTAATTACAACTACCTTATTCCATTTTCTCAAATTACCTCGTACGCGAAGAAAAAAAAAAAAGAAAAAAAGAAAAAGAATTATTATAATTCCTCTATAGAGAATAGAGTACGGTAAATATTCACCCTTTTCCAAGATGTTCACCCGACTTAAACTTAAACCTTATTAAAAAGAGAATTACGCAATTCCCCTATGGAGGATATTAAATATTCAATGTTTCTGAGAAAACAGCATCGTGTCGTTGCTTTTATCCGGAAGAATGATCATCCAAGGCCCTCCATTAATAATTATATTTTCTCGTGCGTAATATTGACGCAAGGGGAATATCGAGTTAAACTCGAGTACGTTTCCTTTTGAGATCGATTCGTGTCGTCACTGTTTCAGAAAATAATTAAGATTTAATCTTAATCGATGAATTTCCATGTTTAAAATTTATCTTGTAAATCGTGTATTGAAATTCAAGCGTGAACAAATACTTGGAGAGATACAAGAATTGCATCATATTACATATTCATCTTGTCGAATCGAAATTTATAATTCAACATTTATTACAATTCTCCTCTCCGTGCATCTTTTATGTAAATTATCACAAATAAATACCAACAGTTATTCCTAAACGTGTATCCACAAATTCATTCGAATTCATGAACTTGATGATTGATCTTCACCTCATCAGGGGATTTATAAATACGATTCTCGAAATGTTCGGATGGTTGGAAACGAATTTAGAACCACTTCTCCAGGAGGTGATTTCCTGGAGCGTAAACTCCATGGGGGAAATACACGTCATATTTCTTTCGACTTTCAATCTCCCTCTTCAATTTAATTGGAAAATTAAATATTTCTTTTTTTCCCATCCTCCTCGAACTTCCAAAGTGGATGCATCGATGATGAGATATATTTTGAGAAGAAGAATTAGAATTAAAATTTTTCCAGTAGATAATACATAGAAATGAGGAGAGCAATAAAGATGGACTCTCCCCCCTACCTTATCTTTCCTCTCTCTCTCTCTCTCTTTGCACGAAATAGCTCATAATATCAGATTGCGTCTCCCTGGTGGCCATCACCGAAATTAAACGCCATCTGGCGCTCAAAGCGAGAGGCGTTGGAGCCGATGTCTCTCTATTGTCTCCATTGTTCGTGTCGCGGCCATTTACGGAGGCGCGTTTCGACCCTATTTGCAAAGCCAGCTATGCGAATTAATCGTCCAATGGCTAATTTGATCCGAACAATTCACCAATTAATGATCGATGATGAACGGTGTTTCGAGATTTAATTTCGTTCGGGATTAAAAAATGAATTTATGGATTATTGGAATTAATCATTCGTTCGAAATTATTGGAAATTTTGTTATGTACTGTGGACATAATATTTATATATTTTCTAGGTTAGTTATTTAAGGGAAATTTTTAATTTAATTTTCTATTTGCTTGTTTTTTGAATTAATTTTTTTTTTTTGAAAATTAAATTTAATTAGAAATCTTAATCGAGATTGGTTTTTCCATCTTTACACCAATAGTTATTGTTCCTGAATGAGTGGTAGCCTCCTTTTTCTCACGTGTTGTTTAGAATTCTTTTTTTAGAATTCTTTGAATAAAGGTTGAATGATAATCAAATTAAATTAAATCGTGTTTTTAATCATATCGAATCAACAAATATAATGCGTCGAATATATCGATTAATAGATATATATTCAGCTCGTTGGTATAATTGAAGTATCGAGTGATTTTGAAAATTTGAATCAGTTTTTTCCGCATCGATAGCTCTTCTAACAATAGATCCCGAAATTATTTTAACCATTGTGATTCCATGGCCAGAGTACATCGATGATCCACAATTTGAAAATATCGAATTCAAAGATACTTCGGAGAATTCATCATTTATAACACGTTTTTAGAAAATTGAAAATTGAAAATCTGTATCAAAGTGTGGACGATTTCGAAATCATCAACATTTTCCACGAAGGCTACTTTTGGGAAAAAGTTCTTTAAAAAAAAAAGAATTTCTTCTTCAAAAGATTGATTGAGCTCGTTTCGTTTGAATTTTGCTTGAAATTCCTAAAAATGGATTTTTCGTAAGCAACAATCACGTCGATATTCGAACGATCAAAGAGAATATCGTCGATCTGACGTAAAAGTATAACATAATCGCGTTAACGAGCACGCTAGGATCGATACTGACGACGATTGGATCAACTTTGTGACGCTAAACGAATCGATCTTTCGCGCGAAGACATAGTCATCCATCGATTTTTCCTAAATGCATGGAACTGGAACGAAGCCAGGCCAGTTGGGAACACAGAAGGACGTTTCGTGAAAAATTGATTACCAGTGTGGTTGAACGTGGACAAGTCTTAACACGTTTCAGTCGATAACTTATGATTGACGTGTCGATTTCGATCATCACGAGAATCTCACTGTGTGCAATAATTATTTTTATACGACAGCTCTTCAAAAAAATTGAACGCAGCTGTATAATTTTGCTCCTTTTATTATATAGAACGACTTCGATTTAATTTCGATGGATGGTCACTTGGATCTCGTTTATTAATAGAATTTTATTTTATTAATGAAACATTTAAATAAAAAAAGTTTTTTAGAAATTTTGATCCGACGATTAAGGCTAAATCAGACTGGGAACAGATTCATCGACAACGATTCGGTATTCCTGATTAGAGACTCACGCGAATGCATGCTAATCCTTGAGATTCCAAATGTTTCTGGGTTAATCTGTCAGGTTATCTGATCGATGGAGAAACTGGATAAGCCTAATACACGATTAAAATTATTTCAGACTCGCTCATATATTTACTTCCACGATGATAAATTTGTCGAAACAACTGTTTGTTCAACAAAATAACATAAGTATAAGTTTTAATCGAAAATCGACCAAAATTCAAACTCTCGTTTAAAAATTCGCAAGAAAAATATTAGTAACTAAAAAAAGGTACTCCAAAAGAAAGACCGGGACTCTAAAGAAAGAGTCAAAGAAAGCATCGCAAGACACAGACTTTCGCTCTTTCAGCCCTCAGGTCAACGAGGCATCGTAACAAATCCGAAACACGTTTGACACGCGTGGCCAACCTGGCAGAGGCACTTCTCACTGCGATGACCCCGGAGATCCGGCAAGGATCGGGATTCCATCATCATCCCTGACCCGGGATAACCACGAAATTGCCAGCATTGCGACCAGCAGCCACCCAACCAACCGTCCCTACTCAAAACCCTCCACCTCGTCAATCCCCTTTCCCTTTGTCGATAAATATCTCACCTCTACATAACCGACCGAGTAACTAGAAATTTCCACAAAATGGACGACGACGACACGGAAGAGAAGCGGGAATCCCTGACCCTGGTGAACAAGCTCTCTTGCAAAGAGACAAAAACTAAATTGCTAGTCTCATCCTCGAAACTCGTGTCCATGAGCTCGAAGCTCGAGGCAAGGCAACGAAACTCCACGGAAAGCTCGGACACCATGGAGTGCGCATCCGAGAACGAAGTGGAGAACATACCAAAGGACGAGGAAGCGTCCGAACCCCTGGTCACCGACGAGAAAGGGAGCAGAATCTGTGGCGGGGATCGTCGTTCCTTGGACGTTGCCCAAGAAGAAGAAGGTGAGACGCTGGTCACCAGTAGTAGCCGCCAACACACCGTGACGAAGACTAGCCTGAAAGTGTGCGAGGAGGAGGGCAGGCCGGTCAGGTTTCCCGGAATCAAGCTAGGTTTCTTCCATCGAAGCCCTCAATCCTCGTCCAGTCAGGAGGATTACGAGCCCGAGGTGAAGAGCCTGTCGAAACTCGAGAAGCAACAGCCTCAACAGCATCTGTTGACCGCGAGAGGCAGCGGCCAGAGCAGCAGCCAGATAACGGCCAAGTCGATGGAAAGTCTGAGAACGTCGAGGAATTTTCTGAGCGCTGACGAACGCTACGTGGACGACTCCAAATCCTTGGAATCCTTGTCAGAGTCTCACGTCTCTGCCGTCTCGAAGTCTCACTACAGAAGCTTTTTGACCTCGTCCACCAGAGACGTGAGGAGGATAGTGACCGTTGAGTCGAAAAGCAGCGACAATCTTCACAGGGAGGAGAGCCTGAACGCCGAGGTTAGACGCGGGCTTTTCGCTAACACGGGGCTGGAGAGGAAGATCCCTCAGAATCTGAGCCTGCCACCCCCCTCAAACGTGTTTTCGTTGACCAGCCCGGGCGGCAGCGACAGAAAGATCACTATACTCAGCCCTCACTCGCCGCTCCAGACGACCGAGTTCCAGTTCTCCCAGACGTTAAAGGCCAGGCGTAAGAAGGCCATCGTCTTGCCGAGGTTGGTGTTGCCCAGAAGCGAATCCGACGTGTTCTTCTCCGAGTGAGTAGCCGGACAACAAGTGGCAAATGGCCACGGTATTTAGGCCTCGGATACGTCGGTTTGCTCTTGCGCTTTGGGCCTGGGATCACGCGCGGCTTCCTTTAATTTCACGACATAATTCTCTCGCAGAATGATTTAGTTAAGTGATCGTGGCATGAATTGGAAAATATCGGATAATACTCGAGTTCGAATTCGAATTTTGTTTTAACTATTTTTGGATTGTTTTAAAATATTGATCATGTTTGAAACTGTTTGAACATGTTTGAAAACGGCCCAGGATAGGATATCGTATCTGATGAGAGTGTTCTTGGGTATGCTCGATTTGTTATATTTAGATAAAGAAAGATAAAGTAACTTGAGTCATGTATCTATCTAGGAGGAGAAAATAGATGGTCTTGAAATTCAATTCGTAAATAAATAAATTTCCAAGCTTTAATCCACGTCACCCTGTCATTGATTAACTTTGCGGTAAGGGTTCATCGGGAAGGAAAGTTGGCGCATGATCCCCCCTCCTTATCATCGTTTCAAATGGTCAGCTTTTAAGCTGTAAACCCTTATCTTAGGATTTCATTTCACGGAAAAACAAGGCAACGTTTACATTTAATTTATTCCACGACGGAAATGCGCGTAATTAAAGCTGAAGAAATTTTATATCGCGGATATTAAATCGCAAAAATTTATTTTTCTTCAACTTCGTACGTAAGAATGTTTAGAAACTGTTTGCACTTTTTATTTTAAAATTTCTAAATTTTATTTTATTTTATTTTATATACGTGTGTAACAAATTAACGCAATGTGAATTCTTCAACGTGGCATTTAATTTAGAATTAGATTTAGGAGAGGATTCACTGAAAAGCGAAATTCTCGCAATTAGATCGAATCTGTACTTGTTTCGATATATTACCAATGATCGGACGTTTTCAAAGTTGAACAGTTCGAACAGAAGATTGGATATGTTAATGATTGATTTGATTCGATTGACGCTCGATCCGAATCTCCGTTTCATTGGCGCAATTTCCGTTTAATCATGGTAGATTGAAATGGTAAGCAGGGGGAAACAATTCTAAAAAGAAATACGTAAATATTTATTACACATTTTTATTATGTTTTCAATTTAATTTTTTTTTAATTTTTCAATTTTACAATTCGGACTTGGATAAAAAAAATTGTTTGAAATGTAATTAAAAAAAAAAGAATTAAAGCATATTTTTGTAAGCAAATATAAAAGCTTGAAAATTCATGAAAAATAGTTGAAGGTATGTAAATAATCGTATTTATATGGTTTTTTTTTTTGAGGAAAAATATATTTCGTAGCGCAATGTGGTTCCTCGAGTCACATTACGATACGCGATGAAATTCGTGGAAGAATTCAGAATTATTGGGAACGTAAATCCTTTGTTAATAGAAAACCAGTTTTTAACTTTTTTTGCAACAGTTTTCACTCGGTAAATATTTTTTCGTCGGTTGAAATATTAAGCGGTATTGTGTAAGCGACTTTGGCGATATAACGTTGGATGAAAATAAATGAAAAATATCCTTCTTGATTGTGAAATATTTTTTAACAAATTTATTATCGAGAAAGAGAGAGAGAAAGAGAGAACGTTCTTTCTTGCGACGGAAGAAAATTTTTACGCGACGAAATTACTTTTCAAAACAGCGTGTTTATTTTAATTTACTACTCTTTTTTTTGTTAAAAAGTTAATTAGATCGAATTTGAACACGAAATACGAAACGATAATATTTTATTTAACGAGAGATAAAACGGAATCTTCTCATAATAGTAATAGTAATCGTTGTTCGTTTTAAAAATTAACGGATTTAATTATTGTTAAACGAATTTGGTTCGTAACGTGACGAAAAACAGGCCACAATAATTAATTATTCATCAATTTCCAAGAATTATTTTATGCAACATTAATAATTATAATGTGAAACAATATTTTCATAAATTATTTACAATCGGTTGTTGGCAAAATTATTGATTACTCTTATTGCACTATTAATCCTAAAACATGTAGATTTATAGCTAAATTACGTAGATTAATATACATATCATTAGAATCGTACATCCATTACTTTATTGACATATATCGAGTAATTGAAAGCAAATTCAAACAGAAATCAACAGATCATTGTTAATATGTATTAATTATAATGTTAAATATTTAATAATTAAATATTTTAAAGAAATTCAAAATTTCTCTTGAAAAATCTCTAATATTGAAATACATATGTATTCATATGACTTAATTCAATTTTTAAAAAGTGAAATTTTTAAAATTTTACAAACAATTCAAAAATAGTTAAACAATTTTTTTTAAATATGCAGTATTATTCATATATAATTTTTCAATGTATATAATTTCTTATAACTTCCACTAAGGTTAATGATCTTTGTGGCATAGAAACAACGCTGTTTTTCAATTGTTACCAAAGTCAAGCTGCATTGCTCATGGTCAATAGTTGGATGGGTGACCGCTTTTGAGAAACAACACACTTTATGTAATTGTTGTGTTTTGATAGTTCCAAATTCCATTTAATGTATATATATATATGTATATATATTTATTTGTATTGGTCCTTGGGAATTAATAATCACAAGATTAGTATTAATGTTTAACAATAATAACAACAATTAACAATAATCCTTGTTTTGTGTTTAAGCTTATATAATTTAATAGGTGAATGAGGTGACCGCTTGTGGGAACAATACCTAATCATATATTAGTTTAATGGTTCAGAACTTTATCTTAATTATGGTCTCAAACTTAATACAATAACCGCAGCAAGTCAATTAACAATATTAAACCACAAAACAAATATGACGAATATTTCCTCTAAAAAGATTGAACAGGAATCGCTTTGTTACTGATATTAACAAAATCCATTTTCAAGATAAAAATTGAATTTTCAATATATATATATATATGGACTAATATTGATTAAACAAAACAAACATCACGAATACTTTTTAAATTTAATTATATAAAAATTGAAAAAAAGAAAAGCTTTTTAACTCATGTAAAAAAGCTCAATTCAGTTTCGGGATATAAAAATTTGGTGTTAAATTTCTACAGTGTATTACGAATGGCTGACTGTATCGATTGACAACAAACACCAATCCAATATACCTACTTCTTTAAAAATTATGGATTTCAAATTATATACGGAAGAAAAAGCTTAGTCTTGTAAAAAACACTTTGTTGCTGGTATCTCAATTATTTCACGTTCGAGATAAAGAAAAAAATGGATTTCAAATTCCCTAACAATGTGTTTCGCGTATTCGCGATGGACTTTTGTATCGGCGTTTAACCTATTTTTTCCTGGAAACGTAGCTAGAAGCAATGATAAAAAGCCGCCGATTCAACGACTGTCGCTGACCACCACGTGTGCGTGACTAGAGTGAGGTAGGTCAGTGAGTCGGCGCGAACAGAAAGAGAAAGAGAGAGAGACAGAGAAAGAGAGATGTAATTTAAGCATTAAAAATTACGGCCCTCTTTAAGCGACGATATCTCGGAAACGGAACGTGGTATCGACACGATTAAAAAGTTATTCAGCGGTGGATTTTTATGCTTTTTAAACGACATTAAAAACCTTTTAATTGAATTTTATACTTTTATGGAACAAATAAGATCGTAACTTTTTAATAGCGTTAAAATTAAAATCATCATCACGACAATTTTGTTCCAATTAGTATTAGAACTCCCTTGCCAGCCGAGTAATCGTGATTGAATCAAAATTAATGAATTGTCCATCGAGTAATAAATCATTACTCGAACGATACACATTTTACGATATTTAAGACTTCAAAAAAACGGGAGGGAATTTTTTATACTCGATCGGATATAAATAAGAAAGTTTTGAATATTTGTGTAACAAAAATTAAAAATTCCAAAAGCTTGAAATAGTTGAACTGGATACGTTTATCTCGAAATCGAATTTGCATCAAGATGGGATAATTAACGATCGCGTGGTGGGCTGTTATAATGCGATTACCGTTGCAAATTAATTCCGCGGGTATCTCGGCCCAGGAGCAAACAGTGCGCGTCGCGGATCGATTGTTCGAGGATTCGATACACGATACCCAACGTTCAATCTTTCTGATAATGTACAACCTTGTTCAAATTGCAAAATGATATATCGTTCGGTGATAAATTTAGATCGAAAGGGAGATTCATTCTTCGTATCATACAGCATGAGAATTCCATACGTGAGATTTAATGAAGCAGATAAGCATGTAAAAATATTACGATAAAGTTTGTGATAAAAAAATTTTTTTACTCATATATATATATATATGAAGACAATGCTCGTTATTTATTGGTTATTTGATTTATTATGTATTCATTCTGCGTTCCATGCATCACTAGAGCTACGATCGATAGATAAACAATGATTAGGAATGAAAAGATATCGTGCAAAGCATAGGAAAATAATTTTCGTAATTTTGAAAAAGTTCAACATTATAAGTGGAAGCGAAATGAGAGAATGATTTCATGATTTTTTATATAATTATTTTAGTAATACCAATTCAATTCGTTTTGTCTGCATAATATATTACAGGATGATAATTCTTAATTTTATTCTGATTATTATTCTATTGATTCAACAACACATCTGGAAATTGTATCTCTTCTTTTTCAAACAAAGTGGTTTTAATAACGCTACTCTAATTTTCAAGCGCATAATCATATTTCAAGGGAATTAGAAACCTGTACCTCCATTCGAGAGAAAATGACGGCGTTTCGTATGCACTGTCCTAATAATACTTCCTCAAGAATCTACTTATGCTTATCGCTCTGACCCACTTAATCCACGCGATCACGTGGAGAGTGGACTCCTCGACTTTCTTATTTGAATCGAAACTTAGATACGCTTTCTTTTCCCATAAATGATGGATTTATAAACGTTTATATCCTCCGTGGGATATAATTCGATACCGATTTTCTTTACCTTTAGAACAAGTTAGGTGAAAAAGTAATGATGATAGATGTTTAAAT